ATCCTAGCTCACAGCAACCTCAAACTCCTGGGCTCAAGCGATCCTCCTGCCTCAGCCTCCCGAGTAGCTGGGACTACAGGCATGCGCCATCATGCCCGGCTGATTTTTTCTATATATTTTTAGTTGTCCATTTAATTTCTTTCTATTTTTAGTAGAGACAGGATCTCGCTCTTGCTCAGGCTGGTCTTGAACTCCTGAGCTCAAACAATCCGCCTGCCTCGGCCTCGCAGAGAGCTAGGATTACAGGGGTGAGCCACTGCGCCTGGCCGAGATTTTTCTTAAATGGTGATCTTGGTTGGTTATCTGTTCAATTTTTTCAGCACCACGGTTTACCCTAGCACTTAGCAATATCTGGTATTTGCAAGTGCAGAACTCTGGTTCATCCCTGCCTGAGAGTAAACCTCTTATTTTCTGCCAGGTGAGGGAGGGGCAGTGATCTGGCTGGAGGGGGAAATTGGGGATCCTTATAAAGACTTCGAACCATTCCTATGTGCAGCCCCATCTGGCATCCCAGCCTTCAGAGGTACCTCTAATTTTCAGAGTTCCACCGTAGAATCTCTGCTCTCTGCTTATGGGCATTACTCTAATAGTTTGTTCCTATGTTCATTCATATATTCACCTTATATTTATGGAACACTGTAGATGCTGGGAAAAAAATAAACAAAAGAGACACATTCCCTGCTCTCTAGGAACTCACATTCTGAGGAGTAGGGGTAAAGGTGATCTGACTTCGGCATTATAAGGAAGAATAATGGTTTTACTCTGAGTGAAATGGGGGCCAGGGGTTGAGATATCGGAATTTTCTCCTCTGTGCTAAGCCTTGTACCACCTGCCCACTCACTATTCATATTGAAAACATTTGTTAAAATCTAGTCTGATCCTGTTTGCTTTTCTCTTCTCCTTGCCCTTATGCATTTAAACCTTTTTAATCTTTTTCTTTTAATGGAGTCTTGAGAGGAATCAGAAATACACCCATGTGTTCAAGCCATCATTTTAAATTGAAGCCATAGATTTTTAAAACATTTATTTTGTTTTTAAAGTTAACATAAAGTAAAATTGACTTTTTTTTGGTGTATGGTTCCATGAGTTTTAGTGCATGTATAGCAATAACCTATAAAATTCTCTTGGGCCACCTTTTTGTAGTCACACCTTCTCCCCATACCTAACCTCTGGTAACTTACCACTGATCTGTTCTCCATGATATAGTTTTGTCTTTTTGAGAATGTCATATAAGTGGAATCATACGGTAAGTAGCCTTTTGAGACAGGCTTTTTTTTCAAGATAATGCCTTTGAGATTCATGATGTGTGTATTAATAGTGTATTCCTTTTTATTTCTGAGTAGTAATCCATTATATGAATGCATCACATTTATTCACCTGTTGAAGTACATTTAGGTTGTTTCCAGTTTCTGGTGATTATGCATTCAAATGCTCTACCACTGAACAATAACCCCAGTTTCTGG